AAGAGCAAGATTCCCTGTTTAACATAAAGTAATGAACAATAACTTAGTTTTTTTTACTTTAATGTACTAAAGTATAATCCCAATATAATGGGCAAAATAATGCAAAACTATGCAATCCAACAGATTATTACATGGCTATCTTGGACACTTGATTCTGATTGGTCAGTCTTGATATTCTGAGGTCTGATAATTCCAAATAATGACTGTCATTAATAGCAATGATGTATAACAGACCGCTCATCTGGGTATCTAATACCTGTCCTTCTTGAAGAACGTTAAATATTTCACATACTTTTGAAAATCCGGCGTTTAGTTGATCCTGATAAGCGCTCATTGTCACAGTTGTAAACACGACGGCTTTCTTCTAACATGAGGGTGTGTTTGGAATCACAGCATCTTTGTTACCAGGCGTAACGTTAAAGAACGTGAGACACAAGTCTCCTGGTAATCCTGTATAATTCAACCAATCCGATGACGACTTCGAAACTCCTGAAGTGTTTCCACTTTTGTACGCGATATGCATCAGCTGTTCAGTCAATGGTCTGTGGGCGTGACGTCTGATGCTGAGACTAGGAGCTATTGTTCTTCATTTGTTATTACAATTGAGCTGATAATATATTTAAACTCAAATCAATAATTTGTCAATTTTTTTTTATTTGTGGCAAGTAGCCGTCTAATAAGCCAGGGTTCTGATCATCCTGTCAGGGTTTATTTTGTGATAACAACTGTCTGGATGTGCATTATCCCTTATTGGTTACCAAATGTACAGTAAGAATATTATATATGTGTTACTGACAGCATTCACAGTAATGTAGAGCACTTACTTGGAACGCACATGTACAGTGGTTTGTCCTCTTCTGTTAATAAAATAATTAAACAAACAAACAAAACATTAATAAGAACATAAAATTCTATCACTTCTTCTCTGCAGTCATCTTCTCTCTCTGTCCCTCACCTGCAAACACCTCGACTTCACACAGAGTAAGGTATTCATCGTTCCCAGGTAAAAAAATGTTGACATATCGGCCGTTAACAGGCTCAAACTCAAACACTACTGTGCCATCGGGAACATTGAGAACAGTTGCAGCCCTGCAAATACATAAAGAACAGTGTTAAAATGGAAACCAGACGCCTCTAAACACAATGTACATGTCTAAAAAATCAATTAAACTGTACTGAAATCAAATGAGTTTGTATAGCACTCTTCACAATCCAAATGATTGTTCATGTTTTATATTGCATTGCTATAAGAAACAATGGTCTAAACTTACAAATGTCTAATCACAATATGAAAAAATATGTTCAAGTAAAGGATATCTCCATGAAAGTGGCTGACTAAGTGGTTGGAGGAGGTACAATTTTGTCTCCCGTTTTGTCAAACTAGACAGAACATAAACATCCGAAGATGATAAAAACATTTGAAACATTTCTTACAGCTCATTCTTGTTTCCATTGTTCTCCAGCTTGTTACCAATACGAATCTCAGCTCCTCTGAGTCGCTCTTTGCAACAGTCTCCACGATTAGTGATGGCAACCTTGCTTATACTGTAGACATTTCCGAGGTCAGCTCTCCACCATGGGTTAAACTCAGCTTTAGTGTGAGTGCATGAGCCCTTCCCGTAATCTGCATCTCTGTTTCCATCTACTGCATGTTCAGCATCTCCCTGTGGGTGGCCTAAGGAGGACTGCACCACCCTGGCATTAAGAGCAAGATTCCCTGTTCGATATGATATGAAATTGATAAAAAATGATAAGATGGCTTTGAGGCAATACAAACAAATCAATCAATCAATATCAATGTCTCAATCAATAATCAATCAGTTTTTAAATCCAGGCATTTTACTTGTATTATTCTAAACATACCTTTCGAATCAGCGACACTCAGCCCAGTAAAAAGTGTTAGTAACAAAACCACATGGATGGCCATCCTGATTTAAGACATAACAACACATTGTCACAAATGGGAGAGGAGAACAGTGGTGGATAGTAAATACGTATTTTTACTTTGTTACTGTAAGTACAATTTTGAAGTATGTGTACTTTAATTTTCAAGTATTTTTAATTTGGGAAACTTTTACTTCAATACATTCCACATCATAATATTGTACCTTTTACTCCACTATATTTCATAAAAAACATGTCGTTCCTTGTTATTTTGAACTGGAGAAATCGCCACACCACAAGGCATGATAGCGGTGTCCGATTCATGAACGAGCTGATTCTTTTCAATGAGCCTGTTAAATTGGTTCACAAATCACATTGAACGATTCATTTGCGAATTGGATTGAGCAGTTCGGAGCTGTTCTGGAGTCAACACTGATTCAAATGATCTGGTCAGAGCGAGACTCCAGTTAATGATTCACTGAATTCACAAGTCTGACTCAAAATGAGCCAAGAACGGGAGATCCTCGGAGCTTGAGTGCGCACACAACTGATGGACACAAAATTGTATAAAGTTAGATTAAAATGTACCATATAAAAATGTGCTCAGAGATAACCTAAAGTGTTGGGCCTGTCAATTTTTTTTATTTGTAATGTGATTGGGTGCTTTGTGGATGATGATCAATCAGGTATCAGGATATGAGAGGGGGCCAGGGCGAACAACGAGGACAAGAGGAGAGAACGTAACGCACGTGATAGAGCCCACAAGCCGTTTCTCAATATGCGTTCTTGTCTGTACTTGTGTTCTTGTGGACTTGTGAAACGTCATCAGTCGTTGCCCAAGTACTGTTCCAATTCAAAGTTCACATCTAGCCAAGTACAGTTCAAATCCCCGGATATGTTCTTGCTCCGCCCGTTTTATCAAGGATGCATCCAGAGGTGACTTGTGCATTTGTAAGGGATTGGATATCATTTAAAAGAATAGCAACTTCAATAGAAATAGAATGTGTGATTACTGAAGTATATAAATCCGATGGGAACTTGGTAGTAATCAACTATTATAACCCATGTAAATTAAGCCTAGACATTTTAGAGGACATAGTTAGGAGTCAAAGAAAAAGGAAAGAAATATGGTGCGGAGACTTCAATGCACACAATAGTGTTTGGGAAAGTAAGCACACTGATAATAATGGGGAAGTAGTGGAATAATTGATGGATGTTAGGCAGCTAGTTTGTCTAAATAATGGAAATGGTACAAGAATTGACATACGTTCTAACACATTGTCTTGTATTGATCTTACTTTAGTTTCTAATAATCTGGCAAATTCTTGTGAGTGGAATACTGAAGACAGTACAAGTATTGGGAGCGACCACTTTCCAATAATATGCTCTATAAATGTTGAAATAGATATCCAAGAAAGGCCTAGGCATAAGAAGTGGGATTTTACAAAAGCTGACTGGCAAAAATTTAAAGAAATATGTTGTGAGTCAGCAGATTTAATTTTAATGGAGGGTGATATTGAGGAATGTGCATCTGAAGTTTCACAATTAATATTAAATGTCGCTTTGGATAGCATACCACTCAAGATAGTTGGAGGGAAAAGGAAAAACGGTCCCATGGTGGAATGATAAATGTACAGAAATGATAAAAGAACGAAATAATGCTCTGAGAATATTAAGAAATCTAAAAAATCTAATTAATTATCAGAGGAAAAAGGCTCAAGCTCGACGAGAAATTAAGAATAGTAAACGAAATGCATGGAGGAGTTACTGTTCAACTATTGGGAGAGAAGTTCAAATAGGAGAGATATGGTCAATGCTGAAGAAAATGAGTGGGAATAAAGTGTACGTAAAAATACCAGTATTAGAGGATGAAGGAATAATGGCAATAACAGATAAGGAAAAGGCAAATATATTAGGAAAGAAGTTTGCCAGTGTGCATAGTGGTGACCATCTAGATGATATTCACAGACAAAATAAAGAAAATATTTTAAATGAAAATAGGGATATGTTTTTAAAAAAAGACCAGTGGTGGAGGTAACAAATTACAACTACTTACGTTACTGTAATTAAGTCGTTTTTTTCGGGTACTTGTACTTTTTTGAGTAAATTTTTAAAGCTGTACTTTTACTTGTACTTAAGTACAAATTAAGCAAAATAATCTACTTCCTTACTTTGAATTCATAGTTCGTTACTAAGTACACCCACAATTTGAATTGATATTCAAACCTTTGACAGCACTTCAGTAGCCAATAACGATATCCGATCGTGAAGGGACCAATAAAAGCCCTGATATCTGAAGCGGGAAAAGCCGCCGCTGCAGCAGGTTAACAAAATAATCTACTTCGTTACTTTGAATTCATAGTTCGTTACTGAGTACACCCACAATTTGAATTGATATTCAAACCTTTGACAGCACTTCAGTAGCCAATAACGATATCCGATCGTGAAGGGACCAATAAAAGCCCTGATATCTGAAGCGGGAAAAGCCGCCGCTGCAGCAGGTTTGGAAGAGCTGATCAGACAGTGAGGGAGCTCAGCATAATTTATGGACTCAGTAGCCAATAACGATATCCGATCGTGAAGGGACCAATAAAAGCCCTGATATCTGAAGCGGGAAAAGCCGCCGCTGCAGCAGGTTTGGAAGAGCTGATCAGACAGTGAGGGAGCTCAGCATAATTTATGGACTTAAAGTTTGGAGAAACAAACTACATGGTAGTGTTATATCTATATCTATATTTTGATACCGATACTGAAATATCTGACACGGTTCCATTACTTATTTTCCACAGTATCTACCGTATATAAACCGATACAAGCTGCATCTCTCTCCGCTCCGACAGCGAGTTTGACACGCATCTGCCTCCCGTCAATAACAGAGTCTGAATATCGACGCGGGATTGCAGGTATTCCGCATAATTTTAATAATTCCCACACAAATGTGGCGAGCGCTTTATTGTAACATGAGAACACATTCATGCAATCGCAGAAAACTGGATGCGAGCTCTCAAATAGGCCTAACTTATACAAATGAACTGCCTGTCCTCTCACTCCGATATTGCTTGTGCGCACTCAGACTGTGTACAATCACGATCTCTCCCTGCTTGTAAAGTAGAAATTATTTCACTTTGCTCCTGGATTAAACTTTATCAAAAGTTATCAGAATAGATCCACACCTGACCTATGAAAATCCTAGTGGAAATTGTATTGGCTGTAAGTGAAATGCACCAGAAAGTCTTTCAACAATCAAAGATGGAACTTTAATTTCTTTACAATGTAAGTTTATGCTAGAAATGTTTTGGAATGGGATATTTGTCTGATTTGTACATATAAATATCCTAGTCTGCCTAACTGCATCACTACATTATACAGACATTACAGGTCAAAGCCATCTGATGTCCCATTTATCTAAATAAATAGGCCTAACATACTGTATATGGCTCTTAAATCACTGCTTAAAAAAATGCAGTGTTGTCATATTTCGAATACCTCAACTGAATTGAGGTCATTTGTTTTATAATTTTATTACTGACTGTGTACTTGTCTTTTTTTGCCAAATTAAGTTTGAAATCAAATTTGAAAACAAGCTTCCTTGTGCTGTAAGCATTTGCAGTAAAGTTACCCTATTTAGAGACACAAATACACAAAATGAGCAAATGTTTAAGATTGAGATTTGTGTAATGGTAGTTGATTAATATTTATATGTAGCCTATGTAAATAAAAGCCTATATTAAAATATGTTCATCATATAAAGGGAATGTGTCTTTTTAGAAGACTTGGATTAAACCAATTTCAAAGCTTGAAATAATAAGCTTGCAATAATGATTGCCTTGAAAAATATGGATGGACAAAATAAAATATTAAAAATATCTATATGGCAGTATACAGTATGTGGTAGTTTTGCCAGCTAAAAAATGCAGTGTTGTCATATTTCGAATACCTCAACTGAATTGAGGTCATTTGTTTTATAATTTTATTACTGACTGTGTACTTGTCTTTTTTTTGCCAAATTAAGTTTGAAATCAAATTTGAAAACAAGCTTCCTTGTGCTGTAAGCATTTGCAGTAAAGTTACCCTATTTAAAGACACAAATACACAAAATGAGCAAATGTTTAAGATTGAGATTTGTGTAATGGTAGTTGATTAATATTTATATGTAGCCTATGTAAATAAAAGCCTATATTAAAATGTGTTCATCATATAAAGGGAATGTGTCTTTTTAGAAGACTTGGATTAAACCAATTTCAAAGCTTGAAATAATAAGCTTGCAATAATGATTGCCTTGAACAATATGGATGGACAAAATAAAATATTAAAAATATCTATATGGCAGTATACAGTATGTGGTAGTTTTGCCAGCTAGTCGTCAAGAAATCAAAAATGACCCTACTTACTTTTTAGTGCACATTACTAGTCTTGTGGTGAACAATTAAACCGTGCAAGTCAATACACTGAAAAAAAAAATTGTCTGCCGTCATAATCTTTAATCAAAAACTGAAAATTGCAGATATTCTTAACCACTCCTATTCAACCGTGAATCTGCTGTGAGCAAGAGGTGGAGACGAGGTGCACCACAATACAACCCCGCCCTTTATTCAATATTCCATTTCACTTGGAATATAATACATCACAACACTGAAGTCAGTTTAATATTGATATTTTTCAAGGTATTGAAGTTAGAAATTCCTCTATCATGACCACTAATTCACATACTTTGTCAATAAGATAAAAGTGGGTTTTGTTCAAAGTAGCTATTATCCAAATAGATCTTTGATATGAATAAATATTTTTTGGTAATTCATTAAATATCGCCGGCTAAAAAGTAACTAGTAACTAGTACTCGGAGTAGTTTTTGAGAGGAGTACTTTGTACTTTTACTTAAGTACTGTTTTGACACCAGTACTTTTACTTGTAATTGAGTATTATTTCAGCAATGTAACAGTACTTGTACTTAAGTACAAATTTTAAGTACTCTTTCCACCACTGAAAAAGACAACGTGGAAAGTACCATGGATGAAGAAATTAATATGAATGAATTAGTGATGG